GAAACAACATCTACAGAAGCACCTTCCACTATTTCATATAAATCCACTCTGAAACCTGAACAAACAACTCTGTCTGAAGCTACAACACGTAAATTTGGGACTACTATCCCTCCTAAAGTTGTTACCTCTGGTCCGGTGACGACCTCCACTACAGTTGTCCTTGAAACATCAAGCACAGGACCAGGAATCCAAACAACCAGACCTGAAAGCTCCACTGTTACATTCAAGCCATCCACTACTACCACAACTACACCAACTCCTTTTGCCACCAGTACGGAAAGTCCTAACATAGAGACAACAATCAAATTTACAACGCTTTCCCTTCCAACAATGGTTGTCACAACTCCTGTTTTCAACACAACTGCTGTAACCACACAAAACCCATCAGGAACAACTAATATTGCTCCTCTAACACAGACTCTTCCAGGCAGCACAACAGTTTATCCTCCAATCACAACCAGCCAGCCAAGAGTAAGCACTTTTTCTTCATCACCATACCCCCCAGCGACATCGTCTTGTTTTTGCATTGTTAACACAACTTTGTACAATCCTGGTAAGTTCTTCTTTTTAATAATAAATATGATAAACCAATGGTTTGTTTTGATGTATGACATTAATTTCTGCTGAATTATCTTATCTAAACAGGAGACTTGATGTACAACAATACTGATGGCCTTGGTTGGTGTTTTGTTGCATACTGCAATCTATCTTGTAAAGTTGAGACACATCTCAGCCCATGTCCAGTAACGCCACTGTCTAGCACCACCACGTCCACTTTACTGTTCACAACAACAACGTCCACAGGTTCAAGCTCAGTCCCTTGGATCACAAACGGTTCTAGGTCTACTGCAACTACAGTAACATCCCCATCTACAGCTTCTGTAGACTGCAATGATTTGGATCCACCTAAACAGGTGTGTCAATTTTGTTGTTAGGGTAGAAGCAACGTTCATACAGTCTCATGTTTAATCATGTTTTCTTTGAAAACAGAAAAATAACCAGTTACTCTTCAGCATTTGACAGACCTGTGATGGTTTCTTATTTCCATTCAGAATGGAGAGTCCTGGAAGTTAAGCAACTGCTCCACAGCTACCTGTTCCAATGGAGAGGTGCAAGTGTCGTCAGATTTCTGTCCTGCTGTCACTGAACCCATCTGCACCAATGGACACAAAGCAGTGAAGATCTACGATGAAGATGGCTGCTGCTTTCACTTTGAATGTGAATGTAAGTAAAACACTTACCGGTAATCATTTTACAGTAAAAGCTTTTGACGTTAAGATGTTCAAAAGAATCTAAAAAGAGTGAGCTAAATCTACAGAGGGTTGCAAAGGGATCCACCACCCATTACCATTCCCTGTATGGCTGCCTTTCAACTTGGAATTACAACCAAACAACACCTAGGCCTCCATAATCACCTTCTTACAAACTCAGTACTTTGTGTGCCAACATCAAAACCCTCCAGATCCCCTCAGGGCTGTCACCATGATCTTGGTCCATCTAATCTGGACTTGTTGTCCAATGTTCATGTCTAAACATCTACAGCTCCTTCAGGTTGGAAGGTGCTGCTTGTGTCCAACAGTATTTAAATCAAACCCCCTCTTCTATTTGAATTAAAAACATGAATACTGGAGTTTGTAAAACTCCATCTTGCTTGTATTAAATCTATTAAACATCTAAACATGTTTTTTTAATGTCAGAAATATAATTATTTTCAGTGTTAGCATCTAAATAAATATGTGGTGTCTGTGAATGATCTGATCTATCCTGCAGGCGTGTGCACATTGTGGAGTGGATCCAACTTCATGACGTTTGATGGACAGTTTTTCACATTTGATGAAAACTGCACCTATTACCTGGTGAAGGAGATAATTTCCAAATATAACCTGACCATTATAAGAAGCCATGATTGTGATCCTTCAGAGTCCACATTCTGTCCTCTGGCCCTGACCATCATCTATCAATCCACCGAGGTGGTTCTAACTCAGACAGAGACCTCTGGGACACCAACCATTGTTGTGAGCAGCCATTTTAAAAAGCAAAAAAATATTTAATCCTGACTTTAGGAATTAACTCTCATTAAAACACACAGAAGGAAAACTGTTTGTCTCTCTGTTCCACAGGTGTATGTAAATAAGAAACGTATCTATCCAGCCTACAGCAACTCTGTCCTGCTCGTCTCCGGCTCAGACATGCTTGTCACAGTGGAGATACCAGAGATCAACACTAAAATAATCTACAGGAGCTCCTCGTTCAGCATTGACCTTCCTTCCTCTCTGTTTTGGGGGAACACTGAGGGGCAGTGTGGTGAGTGAGCTTCACTGAAGGAAGACCTGTTAGATCCTGATGCACAGAATATTACAGAGGAGCTCTTATACGTTGTGGCTGTAGCTCAGGAGGAAGAGGAGCCACATTTGTAAGGAACATCAGAGTTGAGAATGTGGATCATTGCACCCACGAAAACTGCAAAATCAAACAACGTGTCCTGCTGTCGACTCTTGTTTGACATTTATTGGACCAGATGGTTGAAGTTTGAAGGATGGTTTTGGGATGCCCCCTTCAGGCTCGCTCCAAATGATGCTGCAGCTGGGTTCTGTGGACCACCAGCATGGAATTGCCCTCTGGCTCGGGCTAAAGCAGCATGTTTGGTGCGGACACCAAAGGACCACTGTAGCAGGGTCCAGCCTCACTGGTGCTGACAACCAGACATCTGTCAGCGCCTGTGGTACCTGTAGTACCAGAACCTCTAAACAAGAGTCAATAGCAGAATAAGTTGTTTGGCAGAGAAAATTTAGCAAGTTTTGATGGGCAGAGCCCACATACTCAATGGGTTCTGGTCTTACTCTCCTGCTGCTTCTGGTTGAATGGGTTCTGTTGTACAGGTTCTGGTTTGTCTCTGCTCTAACAGGAACCTGTGATAACTCCCAGTCCAATGACTGCCGGTCTCCTAACGGTCAGGTGGAGACCTGCTGGGTCTCTGCAGGCCAGTGGCAGGTCCCAGGTAGCCCCTGTGTCACGTCAACAGCCGCCCCAGTTACAGCAGGTCCCCTGACCTCACCACAGACACCTCCCTCACCCACACCATCAACCTGCAGACCTTCAGTCTGTGAACTGCTCACAAGCAGGTAAAAAAAACCACCATAACCTAAAGATTTGATTTTGTTTCTACATTTTTCATTCAACCTTTATTTATACAGGTTAGTCTCACTGAGCCTCAGGGACTCATTTACAAGAGAGACCTGATTTTTTAAAAACAATTGACACCTTTTGTGTTGATAAACGCTGCATGTATTGAATTAGTTAAACTTTATTAATAGAATACAGTCCTGTTTTAAAATCTCACATGGTTCAGATGAAGCTCAGGATCAGGTTTTTTTTTTCCACATTTGGACCAGGAATCTTGCAAATTAAATCTTTCATTTCCTGTCATGTTCAGTCAGAAATTAAGTCCAATTTTAGCTCAAAATACAAAAACAGAAGGAAGTAAGAAGAATCTTATCAAAGGTCCCCTCCATCAGCGTCAAATCAGCTTTCTGTGTGCGTCACTTCTCCTGAAGGGCTGAAAAAACTCGAACCAAACATCTGTCGGACCAGCGTCTCCCTCAGCTCCGACTTCTGTTAGGAGAACATTGTACGATTGAGCTAAAACACACAAAAACTGTGAAAGATCCTCCCCTAGACGCCCACTGAGTGTATGCTGGATCAGATTCAGAACCATTATCAGAGTTTAAACGGGTCACAGGAAGTTGGACTGAACTGACGTTTCCACATCTTAAACACTTTTTACTCGATCACAGCTAAACATGGAGGAGTTTAACACACAACAAGTGTGATGATGTCACAAACTTTTCAACTGTCTGAAGAAAACTTTCAGCAAACTAGCAAACAGTAGCTGAAAGCTAAAACCAGCTAAACTGTAGCTGAAAGTTTACAGTAGCAAGCGATGCTAAAAGTAGATGAATAATAGCAGCAATGTGAGATGTCAGTGTATTCATTTTTTTAATTAAAGCTGAAATATAAAAGTTAGAAAAGCTAAAAGTCCCAGCAGCCATCTCCTGAATGAGCTGAACGTTGTGATATAAGAGCAGCTAAAATAGTACAGTCTTCAGGAGTTACATACTATTGTGAAAAGAAACATTCAAAACTTAGTAACCAAACACTGACTCATACATTAAACATGCTGAACTGAGTCACAAAAGTTTGAACATTTTATGACATTAAAGTTGTGCTCAGATAAACACCCTGAGAGTCTGACACTTTGTAACCATCTGTCCTGCAGCGTGTTCGCACCCTGCCACCCTCTGCTGCCCCCCGGAGCCTTCGTCACGGCCTGTTCCAACGATGTTTGTAACGGAGCAGATCAGAGCTGCTCCAGCCTGGAGGCCTACGCCACTCAGTGCGCCGCTGCCGGCGCCTGCATCGACTGGAGGAGCGCCACGAACGGACTGTGTGGTAAGACCTGCGGTTCATACCAGACATCACCTGTTCGTTTGGTTAAACATGTCAACGAACACGCTTCTGTCTTCCAGAGCACAAATGTCCCAGCAACAAAGTGTACCTGGCCTGTGGTCCATCAGTGGAACCCACCTGCAACGACAGGTAAACCCTGACCTCAGGGCTCCTGAGGAACGTTCAGAGGTGACAGGAACACCTGGAACCTCAGGGGTCTTGAGGAACGTTT